CAGCAACCTCCAACTCCTGGTCTTAAGCAATTCTCTTGCCTCAGCCTCCCAAGTAGCTGGGACTACAGGCACCTGCCACAACACCTGGCTATTTTGTTATTGTTGTTGCAGTTGTCGTTGTTGCTTTAGCTGGCCCAGGTCAGGTTCGAACCTGCCAGCCCCAGTGTATGTGGCCAGCATCCTAAACACTGAGCTATGGGGGCTGAGCCAAGTTTCTGGTATTTTGAGAGCAATTGTTTCATTTATGTTGTCCAGTGTAGCTGCATCAGGAAAGAGGGTAAATTCAGTCCCAGTTACTCCATTTTGGCCAGAAGCACCACCATTCTCTGCTGTTTGGTTGTTAATATTTAATGCACTTATCCTACTGATTAGGACAAGCTAACTATTATAACAAACTCCAGCGCCCTGCCCCCTATTGCCACACCTTCAACTCTGTGGTGGGTAACCATACACGCGGCCCTCTCCAAGCACACACTTAGCAGTCACCACCTCCTGACTTTCCAGGTGCCCCCTCCAGTGCCCCTACCATGATCTCACTGCGATGCCTCTCTGCCCTCTGGTCTCCCACTCCCCTCCCAGCTGTTACAGCAACTTCTAATTGCTGCAAGTCTTACCTTTCTCAGGCCAATGTACTTGGGCCTTCAGTTGTCCCTACAAGATGTGGACCACAGACTGGCCGTTTCTGTGCATCCTCATCTGGTCCCCTGTTCGTGTCTTCTTTCCCCTGGAAAGTACATTCTCTGAGAGTGTGGATTGTGTGTCCTGCATCTCTGTCTCCTATTACCCAGCACAGGGTTGGGCAAAGAGCTCGGGGCTTAACGTAGGTCTGTAGGATGATGGATGAGTGGGTTGGTGGGTGGATAAATGGGTGACGAAACCAGTCTCATATTGTCATCTGATCTTCATAAACCAAGCAAAAGTGCACACACACATACTGGGGAAAAGAATTCTATTTAATAAATGGTGTTGGGAGAACTGGTTAGCCACATGTAAGAGGCTGAAACTAGATCTGCATCTCTCACTATTTACAAAAAATTAACTCATGCTAGATAAAAGATTTAAAACTTATAACAACATCGACCTGAGGAAAGATTTTATTAAGAAGACCCCATTGACAGTGGCAGCATCAACAAAAATCAGTAAAGGGGCCTGTAATCCCAGGACTCTGGGAGGCCAAGGCGGGCAGATCGCCTGAGCTCACCAGTTGGAGAACTGCCTGAGCTAGAGCGAGACCTCACCTCTAAAAATAGCTGGGCGTTGTGGCAGGCACCTGTAGTCCCAGCTACTTGAGAGGCTGAGGCAAGAGAATTGCTTGAACCCAGAAGTCTGAGGTTGCTGTGAGCTGTGAGGCCATGGCACACTACCGAGAGCAACAAACCGAAACTCTGTGTCAATAAATAAATAAATACATACATATATAGGCTCAGCGCCTGTGGCTCATGCAGCTAAGGCGCCAGCCACATACACCTGAGCTGGCGGGTTTGAATCCAGCCCGGGCCTGCCAAATAACAATGACAGCTGTAACCAAAAAATAGCCAGGCATTGTGGTGGGCGCCTGTAGTCCCAGCTACTTGGGAGGTGGAGGCAGGAGAATCAATTGAGCCCAGGAGTTGGGGGTTGTTGTGAGCTGTGATGCCACAGCACTCTACCCAGGTGACAGCTTGAGGCTCTATCTCAAAAAGGAAAAATAAATAAATAAATAAAGGGAAACTGACCAAGCTTAGAAGCTGGTGCTTCTGCACAACTAAGGACATGGTCAGCGAAGCTAACGGACAACCTTCAGTGTGGGAGAAGAGAAGCATGTTGAGATTTGCAATTGGTTAAAGAATGAAGCTTTGTCTAAAGCCTTAAGTTAAGGAAGTCTATTAATCAGCAACAAGCCAGCCCACTCACACTAGGCAAGCACCAGACTCAAGTGCTCTATTAGGCAAAGGGATGACCTGCAGGTGGGGTTTAACCTTTGTCTTACATGGCCTCACGCTTGTTAATGATTTTGTGTCACAGAAAGTAACTCCAGAAGAGACTGGCACGTTGGACTTCTTCTCATGGCTAGCTCTCAGCTTGAAGGTCTTTTGGTGTGTGTGGGGGTTCCCTTGGCCAAGATAAGGTCCATTCCACTGGCTAGAGTGGGGCTTAAGATTTTCTTTTTTTTTTTTTTTTTGAGACAGAGTCTCAGTGTGTCACCCTCGGTGGAGTGTGCATGGCATCACAGCTTACAGCAACCTCCAACTCTTGGGTTTAAGTGAGTCTCTTGCTTCAGGCTCCCAAGTAGCTGGGACTAAGGCTCCCACCACAACACCCTGCTATTTTTTTTGTTGCAGTTGTCATTGTTGTTTAGCAGGCCGTGGCTTGCTGGAACCAGCAGCCTCAGGGCATCTGGCCGGCTCCTTAGCAACTGAGCTACGGGCTCTGCCCTCCTGGCTATTTTTGTTTTGTTGTTTTAGTTGTCATTGTTTTTTGTTTTATTTTGAGACAGAGCCTCAAGCTGTCACTCTGGGTAGAGTGCGGTGGCCACAGCTCACAGCAACCTCCAACTCCTGGTCTTAAGCAATTCTCTTGCCTCAGCCTCCCAAGTAGCTGGGACTACAGGC